TTTCCCTTTAAAGGAAAAACTGACTACTGACAAAGTTCGTTTAGAGCTTGTTTTGGAACTGGATCAGTATAATTTGGTTGTCCATGTCCTACCAAATCTTTGTGCAGAACCTCCATAGAATGCAAAGACTTTTTTCTACAGAGATCCAGGGGAGGAAATGGCTCACTATGTGTACAGAGAGCTTTGCAGTTCTCTCTTCTGTCTTACAGGGAAGCCTCTCACTTGCATAGTTTTTTTTTCTTGAAATATGCTGTACAACCAAAGGCACAAAAACATAACAATGCCTTAAAACAAACTTCCTTTCAAAGATTCTTTAATGTACATTTTTGAAGACGGAAAGGAATTGTTGATGGTGGGACTAAAACTCAAGCTCTTGTTGGAGTGTTCTCATTAGTATTTAGATGAATGATGAATACAATCTGTTCTGAATACTTTTACAATAAAAATATGAAATGTGAACATCTTGTCGAAAAATACAGTGATGTGAAGACAGTTGGTTCAAGGTATTTGGACTTTGGCTCCCTACTGTTAGGCTACATTATCAATGTCATATTTATAGGGCCCTACCGAATTCACGGCAGAAGTGGCATGCACTGTGGCTCCGTTAACCTTGCAGGTTCCCCCACGCGCTCCCCTCTGCTGCTGATTGGAGGGGCCCTGCTTGTGGCTTGCTCATGACTGGCAGGGAAGCGAAAACCGCGGTTTTAAACGTTGCGCTGTTTTTGCCTCCCAGACGGTAAGCAGCAAACAGCAGGGTCACTGGGGCCCTATAGCCAGTCAGCAGCAGGAAGCAAAAATGGCACCATGTTTAAAACCATGGTTTTTACCTCCTTGCTGATCAGGAGTGAGCCGCAGGCAGGCCCCCACCACCAGTCAGTGGTGGACGGATGCATGGGGGAACCTGCAAAATTATAGGAGCTGCAATGCACACCACTTCTGTTATGAATTTGGCAGGGCCCTACATATTTATAACCTGAACTTCAGTAACACTTGAATTGCCTGGTATCTAAAGGCAGCAATTCACGAAGGAAGTACTTCATTGGTTTCCAATATATCAGTGGCTTTGTTGTTGATGAGCAGTACTGATCAATAAAACTCCTAGCCCTGGAGATTTGAGATTCTGGAGCTAAGGAATGGATGGATAAAACTAGTAATACTTTAAAAGCAGTCCACTAAGATGAAAAAAAAAATTAAATCTGATGACAAAAGACTAGTTTAAAAAGTTAAAAAGAGAATTAATATTGTACTGCTATACAGGTATTTATAACCTCCCCTGATAATTTGGTGTGTAGATACTATTGTGCTATCCAATTGATATCATAATGTAATACATAAGGCGACTGTGAATCAATGTACATTTGCTTTAAAACTTCAGTGCATGGTGAAAAGCTGTTTGTGAATCACCTGGAGATCCAGACTTAACTTTTCTATATGAGAAGCTTCTATAAAATACACCAAATTGGTAATTTTGTCTTTTTGTTGCTATAAATAATTTGTTCATTTTAAGCAATAAACAATGCTATTAGTGTCTCCAAAGATGCAAATATTGCCCAAGTACTGGTGATTGCTCAGGTCAGGGTGTTAAGAGAAATAGCTTATTTACAGCCAGATTGTCAGTGTCTCTTTTGGAGGTTTTGCTATAGTTTTATTATATTGTACTGCCATTTCTAATTACTTTTCCTAATAAAACCCTACTTTGAACTGAAATTTAAAAGCCATCACCAACATTTCTTTCCTAAGTTGTTCAAATATTTCAGATATATTTAGTTCAGGTCAGTGAAAAGACTGAATACTTGTAACCTGTGATTTTTTTACATCCTGATTGGCTATGGTGGTATTACTTCATAAATTTCAAAGGAATCTTAAAGTATTTTTTAAAACCATAGACTTTGAACATTAAATTTGCTTTTAAAATAATAAACAATAATCAATCTGAGGTTCTCCATATCAACTTTCAATTTGTAATGCAGAAGCCTCATTGTGATATAAAACCTTATGACATTTTAATTAGGAAAATAGATCATGTAACTCCATATGATGGAATAAATTTTCCAGGCACTGCTGCCTTGGTATACTGCATGTTCTTCTAAATTGGAATAAAAAATGCATTAAAACTTGTCTAAATTAGATCAGCCTTAAAGTTGGGGGAGGGAAAAAAAGAAAAAATAGTTGTCTTTAATTTATGGAAGCTTTTTCACATACTCTGTCTCTGTGCAGAGAATCACTTTTATGCAGAGGCAATTTCTAAGATGAAAAGGATTTTTTTTGTTAGGATTCCTGCAGTACGTGGTTATTTGTTATATTTGTGTTACAGCCAAAGGAGAAGATAGTGATGTCCTCAGTATAAATGCAGATGCATACGATAGTGACATAGAAGGCCCATGCAATGAAGAGGAGAGTCCACATGTGCCAGAAAGTGCTGTCAGAAGTGGAGCTGGGCAGATAGATGACCTTCAGAAGGACATTGAGAAAAGTGTGAATGAGATACTGGGGTTGGCAGAATCCAGCCCAAAGGAGTCTAAAACAGCATCCTTGGCCGTTCCTCCATCAGAAGATGTTCAGCCATCAGCACAGCAGCTGGAGCTTCTGGAGCTTGAGATGAGGGCCAGAGCTATTAAGGCCCTGATGAAAGCTGGCGATGTAAAAAAATAGCCTTAAGGTTGTTTCATTTACATTTTTTATATTTGTTTTGAAGAGTGTGATGTCAGTTCTTTTAAGTGCTAAAGTCTATTTGGATTGGGTATGACATTCCTCATTCAAACCTTTTTTGCGTATCCTGACCTGTGGCTTAAATTGTTGATAGCTCTTTTCATTGCCTCTGGTGTACTGCTTTCTGTGACTTGCACAAATGGATTGGTTTGACACTGGACTGGATCAGTGTCTCTATGCTGGGTTATCTCTTAACGTGAATTAGGAAGGAGTCCTAGATTGTATAGATCTATGCCAGGATCCTGGTGCCTTTTAGAAAGGTTAAAAGAACAATGTAGGTTTCTTTTTTATAATCCCTGTAGCTAGCAATTAAACAGACAATTTATTTATTCCCTCTTGAACATCTTAATTTAAGTAACTTGGTTTATAGGTACTTCTTTAAAAAAAAAAATTCTGTTTTTAAGAGGTCTTTTCTGGCCTGATGATACTTATCTGCTTGCAGTATTCAGTGATGTGATTTGAGATGCTTATTTTTCATCGGGGGCCCTGCTTACACTAATGAAAATATACTAGTTAAAAATGAATGACAACTCCCTTCAGGAGATTTAAAAGCATAATTAAATTTTTAGAGAATTAAAATTGCTGAAGTGAGTTTAAATAAACTATGTAGTGTTGGTTATTGTTAGAAAGTTACAGAAGTGCCTGGAAGTAATTCCATTGATGAACTATACTAACAGGGTTTTTATACTGTCGGTTATTTGCTTTTGTTATGTTTTCCCATGACTATCTTGTGTGTTTCAGTTGAAAACAATAAATTATGTATACATTTTCTCTAATTGTGATGCTTTCTGTTTAAAATTTGGCAAACCTCTTGAGATGGAATGATGCAGCAAATCAAACTGTTTAAAAGATCGCTGGTCTTGATGGCAAATGTTTTTATATTTATGTGATAGTATAGTTTTTTCATATTCCCTGTAAATATGAAAGCCCCTCTAACAATGTTAGAGAGGCTTTCTGGAAAAGTCTCATAATTTATGTATATTTTGAAAAGATTCAGAAATCATAAATTCCACATTCTTCATTTTAAGGATGCCTGTGTAGATTTAGTTTTTTACAGTTTTTTCTCCTATTATGGAATTCTAACTGCAACAAGCTAGTTTTGATTGTGTTTAGAAGTGGTGCTATTTTTATACTTGACTGTTTATACAGTCACTGTATATCTTTAAAATATACCTGCTGAATTTGTTATATCCCAAGTATGTGAGTCTAATCCTTGTTAAATAAAATGGTTCATTATGTGTAGCTCCATTGAATTTTCTTTTATCACCTTTTGAAATAAGCAAATGAGGTATCAAACAATACGACTTTAAAAAATCAGTCTTTCTTATACACTACTACTAATACTTCCCATTATTTGCATCAAATTGGGGTTTTTTAGTAATGTGCAATATCTAAAATGTTCTTATGAGATTTGAAAGAGTTTTCATAAGTTGGTAAATGTGGCCATTGATTTTTGGTAGCAGGTTCCTTTTCCATCTTCTTAAGTAGCATTGGATAATTTAAATAATATTTTGAATAAATGCAACATAAATTTGCTATAAGCTAAAAACATTATTATATGTAGCTGGGAGGATAGTTATGGTAAGAACTCCTCAAAGGGTGGCAGAGAACTGAGTGAATAACAACTGGTCACCATCATATCGTGACTTAACTTTTCTCTCTTATTTGTAGCAGTTGAAGGACAGAAATGGATGGGAAAGGGAGAATGAACCGGATCAATTTAGTACACAGACTTCTGCCTAAAAAGTGGTCTGCCAGTGGCTTTACAATTTTATGTTGTCGTGGAACCTAGGATTTCTTTGTATTTAGGGCAGCAAAGGCAGGTAATGGTAAAAGGGCAGTTGGTAAGACTTATCCTTGCGGTCTGGGATTCCTAGTTTGTGAAGTCGCATAATATTGGAATTGCTTTACTGTAAATGTTTTGTGTTGTTCAGGTATACCTCCCATCATTAAGTTTTGGGATGAGATGCATCCCAAAGCTTCTCTCGTTCTTTGGAGTCTCAGAATAGCAGAGAATCTCTATGCCTGAAGAAGAGTGATTGCACCCAAAAAGCTTGCTAAGAACTTTTTTTTCCAAGTACTCACTTGGTCTAATAAAAGATATTGCATCTACTCAAAGAAGCTTGCCTCCCATCATTTAGGCACTGGTTACTTCACTCTGGCTTGCAATGGACTGGACAGTTTCACCTGTAGGCAACATTGTCATTTATACAACTCCAATCTCATATGCTTTGTAGGACAATACTGTTATAATTTACAGAAAGAACTGACCCTTAGCACTTGCCTCTGTCACTCTTTCATTTCTAATTTCATTTGTTAGCTCTTCCTACCATCCACCTTATTGTAGTTTAGTGCCTGTAAAAGCCCAAGTAATAATAATAAAAAACACTTAATCTTAAGAGTGGAGGAAAAATGAACCACACTTTAATAACTAGTTGATACAAGAACTGTTCATTGAATTTACACCCTCCCTTCGCTGCTGGAATTCCCCAAACACTGTGCTTTCTTCAGCAATTCCTCCTCACTCCAGGCGAAGTGCTAGAGTTGCCTGCTGCAACCCTCCCATGTATTTCTTTCAGGTCACTAAGCAGTGAAAGCTAATGTCACGCAGCAACCTTTTTTCCCCAAAGGACATAATTTAGAGGAGCTCTGCAAAGCTCAAGTTAAACCGAGTTAAGCTCAAAGCTTACATGTTGAATGCCACCGCTGACCTGGTTGGCGGAGACCCCCATAAACAATATTTTTATGAATTTAGTAGCGTTAAGTTACTAATGAATTCTGGGTTCTATACAAACCAGTACTGCGAGGCAGTAACTTTTTTTTTAATGGTAAATTAAAACAGACTACTCTGAATACTCCATCTTTCTGGTTATTGAAGGCAAGTAGCACTGACTTGAATTCAGCTCCACCTTTCTACTGACCTTTTGGATTTCAGGCTTTAGCATGTGGCATTGATACTGTAATGTCAAAGAGTTTATTTTGAGGTCAACATGCAGAAATTCCACATTCTGAAATTTTTTTTTTTAATATGTGGTATAGTGGAGATAAAAAAGGCTTACTATGCATGTGACAAAGAAGGTAAGTAATTGAACTTGAAAAGAAGCAGGGTTCTAGGAAAACTAAATAGAGATGTTTGCAAATAAGTAATTGTTTTATAATTGTATTCTGTATTATAAAAAGGGCTGCATGTGACTGATTACTCAGGTGCTAATTCATTTTTGGGATACTGAACTATTGCTATTTAGACTTGGAATATATCAGCTACATTACCCAGGCCCCTGCATTGATTCATACCCTATTTGTTTGCTGTACAATTAAACTATTCAGTGCATTTTAAATGGTTACTAGACTCCTATTTTACAGTTTTACTTTTAAATGTCTCCCTGGTTTGTTTGTTTGCTTTTTTCTTTTTAAAAATTATTTTAGTAATTCGCTTTGGAGGAAGAGGCAATTTCTATGTAAAATATAGTCCTGAATTATTTATGAAATCTTAAAATAATTTTACAGGGACTTTTGATTAGCTGCTTGGAAGACTCTTGGTTGGTTAAGGGTTGTAGTTTGGATATGGGTCAGCAGAAGGGGACAGAGCTGACCTAAGCTTCCTGAATAACAAGGAAATAGTTTCCCTGAATTAATCTTTGCTATCCTAATAACTGCTGCTCTTCTCTGTCAGTTGGCAGGACCACATTTGTATTATATAAATAAAAAGGTGTAACTCCCCAGAGAGCCAAAAGTACCAGTTATTCCTGGTGTGAGGCTTTAATGTTGTTTTAATGGTGATTTGATAGAGAACAATAATTAGACTTCAAGATGTCACTTTTAAGAGACAAATTATAGGCATTTCCCCTGAACAATTCAAATTTGTTTTGTAGCTCTTCCTTTTTATTATAGTATTTGCTTTTCTAGGGCAATGTTTTACCTAAAATACTGGCAAACCAGAACCTTGAATAACTTGCTTTTAAAAAATCTCTGTTATTTTCTCCAAGTTGAAAATAGTTATTGTAATTTTTAATCATAGTGCATTAAAACCTCAATCACTATGACATCAAGTTACTTCATAGTAAAAGTAAAATAAGCATATAATATATTAAGTCACCTACATGGATGATTTGATTAATATGCTTCTATGCTAAGCTACTGCTGGTTAAATGCTGTATTAAGCAGAAGTAGTATTTTACTGTTCTCCAAACCTGAAATGATTTGCCTGCAATTCTACAAAGTACAGCTCCATGGACAGCGGCAGCAAGGAAACCCTGCAGTTCTTCATTGGTGCAATGATACAACACATCCCTCAGCTAACTGGGCCTGAAAACATTCAGGGCTATAAAGGTTGTGTCCCCATTGTTGATAGCTACTGATCTTTTGTACAAAAGATTTCCCCAATCTAATTTTTTCATTCTCATCACTGTGGTTTTAAGTAGCTTAAGGCTCTCAAAAAAGACTTAAAAAAATTAACATTTTTTTTTTTCAATGCACAGTTTTAGTATGACAGGTACATCTTAGTTTTACAGGCACTGCTTTAGCTTTATAAGATCACTGAAGCATTTTGCCCATTTTACAGAAATAGGGAAGAGTTATGCAATAGATTAGTTAGTAAGCAGGGAGGGTAGAGGTGGTTAATTCATTTATGCAGAAACATGAAGCAAAAGAACACAACTTTAATAGCATAGATACCAAATTAAAAACTGATTATGAAGTCCTGCAGTTTAGTCACGGTGATATAAACCTTCATGTTTATTGCTAAGTCAATCTGCAATATGTGGAGAGAAAAAAATGTTTATTATGTTTACCTTATTTATGGCCAAATTTAAATGTTAAAATACTGCAATTTTTTTGTCAAGTCGCATGTTTTATGGTTCTTTCTTGCCATTAATATTAAAATATGTAAACAGGATACATAAAAGGTGAAGAAAAGTCTAAAGCCTGTAAAAAGGTTTTTGCTGCATACCAGTTAATCAAACTGACTCTGCAGTCAGAGGGGGGAAAGAACCAAAGAGCATAACTGTAAATATTGCACGGTTATTAAACTGCAGAGGACAAGTAATCATCTCTGTTAAAAAATGCATGTTCATATGGTAGACCATCCCCTTTTTAAATGTACGGTAAGATTTCATCCTTTTCCATGGGAACTGCCTTGATTTTTGTCAGACTTGAAGGTGCTTTTTGCATCCGGCAGCCCTGCAACATTGCTTTCGGGTAAATATTGCAGACTATAAATTGCTGTTTCTATACATTTGCAATTCTTTCCTCCATCTTTTTTTTGGGGTGGGGTGGGGTGGGGGGAAGGAGGGAGAAGGGAGGCACTAAGTAAGGCTAAATTCTGTTACATTGGTTACTCTGGATTTAAATTGGTTTCCCTGAGAGCAATATTAGTCCCTTTTGTATTTTTAATTTTGAAGACTGATATCTGGATTTCCTGATTTGTGTTACAGTGACATTAATTGGCCCCAGTAAAGATCATGGCCCATTGTATTAACCACCTCACAAACATGGTTCTAGTGCTATTTTTAAACATGCGGGTTTATGGGTATGCATTTGGGTGTTTTTCCCCCCTTGTTTTTATTTTTTGACCAAGTTTAATTGGTACAAGCCCTACTGTACACATAGATTAATACAAATCTATATTAATCTTTTCCCCTAATTTTACAGGATAACAGCTACACCAGTATTAGCATCTTTTTGTTGGTATAGTTATATCTACATTATGGGACTGTATTACTTTAACTATGCAAGGTTCAAGTGAATATACTTAAAACTAAAGGAAAACTGGGTAGACAAACCATAAGAGACTTTTTCTGTCTGAAAAACATGCAAGCTAGATAGATGGGAGAAAGGAAACTGTATAATACCCATTTAGCGGGTAAGAGACCTAAGGTGCAAAGAATGATTTGCTCAAGACAACACATCAAATGTGTGGCAATGCTATGACTAGGACCCAGGTCTCTTGAAATCTCAATGTAATGTTTTAGGCACAAAATCATCCCTTCTACCTTTAATTCCTCTGTATGGGACTGTTTCTAAAATGAGCTCCTAAATCTGCCTTTCTACTAGGCAGATTTCAGTAGGCCATTGATGTGCATTAGAGGTGTAAAATACCTGCTACTCAGCTCTAAAGCAACAATGCTGCACAAAATGTGGCCAGACTGGACACAGCAGTAGAAAATCAACTGATAGGAATGTCCTGCCATAGCTGAGACAAGTACTTCCATCTTGAGTCTTTTTCCAGTTCTAATTTCTACATCACCTAAATATTGAAAGGACCCAAACACTTCTCGTAGAAGGTTGACTTCCAGCCCTTGGTTTGTATAACAGTATAGGTATAATAAAGAAACCAATTGTTGAAGGCATCTAATTTTGTAGTAAGTTGAAGTGTGGTAGAACTGTTTAACATTTTCCCAGCATTTAGAATGGGTGTTTAAACGCTTAAATATTTTGGTCACGATTTTTGATTCCTTTCTCAGGGTAGGAAAAGTCATTATCGTATTTCACAGTGTATAGGTTGATATGGTATATAGGTCAATCCTGGTTTTCTGACCCGAACAGTTAGGATTAGCATAGGCATAGTGTATAAGTTGGGGCCAGGCTCGGTGCTCAGCTGGTGCAGCCCCATCCCCTGCAAGTGATGCTGCCTGGGCCGCACCACCGCTGCTTGCAGGGGATAGGGCTGTGTTAGCCGAGTGCTGAGCTGGGCCCTGCCTGCTGTGAGCAGCACTTTTTAGTAAGTGGTAGTTTTTATGTTAGCCAATTTGTAGGTCTGAATAAGCTTTGCTTAAGAACAAAAAATAAATAAAAAAGTTTCGCCCAACTTCTGAGGAGAGATTTGCAGTAATAAGTGTTACAGGAAATGCTTTTTATTCTGTCTTAAAACATGGACTTCAGTGTATTAAGAATATACAACCGAACTTTTACTGATGTCATTTCATATATTGTCAAAATACTGGAACCAGAGCCGTGGCCTTATTGTTGTTTTTTTGTTTTGTTTTTGTTTTTGTTTTGTTTTTTTCTCTTGCTGTCTAATTTCTAGGTCTGCAATTTGATACATGTGGCCACCCACTGAATTAAGGTCTGCATTGCACAGAGGGATCTGACATGGATCTGAGTGCTTGGCTGGGACCTAAGAGTGGTTGCCCTAGTCCTTGATGCTAGTTTACTAGATCTACACTGAAATATTAAAATAAAATCTCTTTGCGTTTGAGAATTGAAACATTGGTAGTTTGTTACTGATTCATTGGTGGTGGTCCTTTATCAGTTAAATGAATTAACAGAAGATCTTTTTCATGCATCACTTGAAAGATGCACTGCTTCACCATATATCCACTGATCAGTATTTTAAGTCCTGCCAGCAATCTAGCCCATAAACAAGAGAAGAGAGCAGAGCCTCCTGGTCACCAACCTCTTTTCCCAGTTGCTGCAGAGGAAGATAATGTTGTCACTACTGTTCATTAAATATAAATAGGCCAAAGGGAATGAACTTGGTGAAGTGAGATCTGCGGTTGATGAAGGACTGCAGGCCTCATAAAGCTGTTTGGGGTATAATATACGCTTATAATTGAAAGCAGTAATCAGTCCCAAGAATCAGTGGGCAGCAGTTGACACATTAGAGGTGTGAACCTGATGAAAAATGTAATTTAGAATAGTGAGCCCATTTATGGTTGAAGGATGGGGAAGAGTAAGTTAACTTTTTTTTTCTTCCTCTGACGTGTGCTGGCAGACAGATCCCCAAAATGCCAACTTTTCCGTGGACCTTCACATTTTAGTGTGAAAAAGGATGGCTTACATTAATTGTGCAGTAGGGATCTGATTTTCAAGAATCATGTTTAAACAAAGACGGTGTCAGCAAGAAGTGTAGAAGTATACCTAGCACTGTTTGTGTAATATATAAATATGTCTGAGATTACACAAAGCAGAGACAAACTTACATCTCTTTGCCTCATTTTCTATGACACACGCAAGCATATATAAAAATTAGGGTTTTTCTTTCACTGGGCCATTATATGCAAAAGGGAGGAAATGTTTTACTACAACAGTTTGCTCTTTGCAGTTTCCTGCATTTGTATTGATAAAGTGTTGTAATCAACACTTTGGCTTGATACCGTGTGTGTCAGTGGGGAACTCTATACTGTATTTTTATAATGTCCTCTTTCCC